ACACGACAANTCTACCTTCATTCCACGGTGTCATAAGATCACAGTACAGCTATACTTTTGTTTAATAACTGTCAACTTTTACAACTGGGAGCTAAACATCTGCTAAGTTCTCAGGCGTAATAACGACGCTTTCTCAGCACCTTTCGACCTAATAGCGCGATTTTAACAATTCAACATTAGACACGACAACAAAGTGAGTCAGTCGTCGCCAGTTCTTCCTTGGGATTACGTCTACGAAAAATCTGTGCTTCTTGGGATACATACCTCTTCGTTTGTGACAAATATCCAAAGAATCGTGTAATATCAAGAATCGCCTAATATCAAAGAAAACGAACTATTGGATTATTGGACTTCCCGACCTTTCTGTCTTACCGACTGGGATCCCGATCAAGCTCTCAAACAAGGTAACTATCGACACGCGAACTTCTGTAAACTATCTCTCTCAAAACGGGAAGAAACGTAATATCTTAATGTCTTAATATCGTAATATCTTAATATCTTAATACTATTATATACTAAAGCGAGCATTGTATCTAATAGCAGCCCTAATGTATCTAACAGCAGCACTAATGTATATCCTATCGTTACCCATTAAACAGTTGTTACGTTAAAAAAACGTCTGAGTAAATCACTTCCGGTGCGTTGTCTCTCCTTCTATCTCGACTCTGATCGCTCCGTTACGCGACCGCTCGCGTGACCTAAATAACGCGGCTTCCGTGTCCATCGAGATGCGGTGGTGTCATCCTGACAGGGCACCAAAGAGGTGCCGACCCGTCGGTCACAAAGTATTTCCACTTTTTCTTTCAGTTTATCTAAACCAAGACATTTCAGATATAATAATTTCAAATCAAATGATCAGTAATAATAATTTTAGTACTTAGAAAACTTCTCAATTCATTTCATTATTTTAGTTTTCATAAAATANAAATAAAAATAATTCATTATACGTTGTGAAATAATTTAATAACTTTCGTAAATTACTATGTTTAATCCAATAATTTATTATCCGATGTTTTTCATCTATAAAAATTAATCCATTAATTTTTTTTCTAGTAAAATGGACTTGCCATTTATCTTTTGCCTATAATTGATACATTTTAACAGAATCTATATAAATGTCTATTACAGCTTCTATGGTAAACTGTCGGTAAATAATTTCATGCTGTTTCACTTGAAATGCTTTAAAATCTATTAAATCGCATTCTGTAATTTTATATAAATAAAACTTAGTATTAGTATTATTTTATATTTAATAACAAAATAACAAATAGATTTCATACATAAATAGTTTTTACTAACCATATTGAATGTTTATTAATATAGCAAACATCTTGTCTTCCTATTTTTGATATTATAACACAATTATATTCAATTATTTCATCCATTATATCAAATTGTTAATGTGAAATTTGTATAAATATAATTCTTAAAATTTATATTTTGGAAACGAGACTAGTTCTGTAACGGTCATTTGTAACGGTCATTTTTGTATCAGTGTTTCATTCCGCATTAAACGTTATTTTTTGCAAAACCGCAGTACCTTCATATTATTACAGTCCATTAAAGATCGACAAACACGAAGAAAAGCGAATTGTTTAACGAATAAGTTGTAGAAACGAAAATCGGTCGTTAAGTAAGAAGTGGCTGTACAATATAAATGAACTAAATGACCAATTTTGTATCTTTACGTGCTGATATTTAGCATGGTGACGTAAAGTAAGTGATGATAATTTTATCGAGCTTGATTTAAAATATATATAAAAATGGACATGTATGTCCCTATATTTCACTTTTCTGCCAAAACTACACATCGCACATGAATGGTGTTTGTATGTGGTAGTAGCCCCAAATCTCCATTCGTGCACCAGTGGGGTTGCGTCTCGATAGCTATAAGGGTGCGGAAGATATGGGACTGAAAGTGGTTGAAAGTGGCTTTCTATTTCGAATGTTTTGTTCGAATTTGTTCGAATTAAATTCGAACATAAAATTCGAATATTGGTTCGATTACATTCGTTCCAGAAACGTTGAAAATAGTTCGTTTGACTTGACGTGAACAGGAGACGTTCAAAAATAAAATCGGGACCAGGTCTCTAATTAGTCTGGAAACGGAGAACCTTATTCTTGCATTCGGTAAAAACGGGTAAGATTGGCTATAATGTAATTATCTTAATTAATCTTCACTATCGTTACTTTTTGTCCACAAATAAAAACTCAGCGAAGTGGGTCCTTGCAGCTAGTATATATATATAAATGGACGTGTGTGTCCCTATATTTCATTTTTCCGCCAAAACTACACATCGCACATGAATGGTGTTTGTATGTGGTGGTAGCCCCAAGTCTCCATTCGTGCACTATAGTGGTTGTGTCTCGATAGCTATAAGGGTGCGGGAGATATGGGACTAAAAGTGGTTGAAAGTGGTTTTTTATTTCGAATTTTAAAATGTTCGAACCGTTTTAAATTCGAATTTCTTACTGATACGTGCCCAGCAGCACCACGTAATTAGAAACAGAAGAGAAGCATACGAGACGTTTGTAAAATCGTTGTAGCAAGAATGCTACATGCCATCCGTACTCAACCATGTTCAACCTCTACATTTTTTCAATCATCTTGAAGGCGGTCGTTTTCAACATTTCTGTAACTAAATAAACTCATTTTTGTCTACATTTCTGTAATGTTGTTTCATATCCTTTACAGTGAGAAAATGTTTGCATATCTTGCTAAATTGAAATTTTTTCGGTTATTATTTTAGCACTTGAAACGAACATGCATCAAATGCATACACTCTTGGAATGCTGGAAAGATCTATTTTTGCTCCTGAACAGATACAGTGGTGCCTCGTATAACGTACTTAATCCGTTCCAGGTACACGTCCGATAAGTGAAAAGTCCGTTATACGAAACGCATTTTCCCATAGAAATATATGTTAAAACATATAATTCGTTCCGCAACATAAAATAACCGTACTGTACCATAAAAAAATGAAAATGGAGCAGTCACCAATTATGTCGGGTAATCAGGTGTTGTGAGGAAGAGATGGGGAACACTTCACACATTCATATAGATACAGACTTTTTACATATTGCAGCAGGTCTCTTTTTATTGTTTTTTAATCGGAGTCAGATTCAGAAGAAGCTACCAGAGCTTGCAGGGTCAACTCCTCTTGTTCCATCCTTTGTTTTTTGCCTGCTGGCTTTTTAAAAAACATGTCCAAGGTGGTCTGTTTCTCTTTCTTTTTCAACACCTGTCGGAAATGACGGGCAAGGGTGTCATTGTAGAGATCATTGATCCTGTTGGTCTCAGCTCTGTTTGGATAATGAGTGTTGGTAAACTCCTGAACCTCTCCCCATTCGACAAGGAAGTTTTTGTCAACTTTCACTCCTGATGATATCTTGCTTTGTTTCAATTGAAATCACCTTTCTGTTTTTTAGAAGCCATGATTTGCACAACACTTGAATAAATGTAAATACCCTGCAGTGAGGTGATGTACGCAATAAACAAAAGAGCAAGCCAGCGGGAGCTCTGTACTTCAGATATACTAATACTATTGATATACAGTATTCTAATAATACTAACCTATTATAAAAATAGCAGATTGCCATTGGCAACGGCAAAAGAGTGAAAACATCATTCGCACTTGTTCGCAGAAAGTTTGTTGTTCACCTCACGTAACTGCAGAATGGAAAGTCCGTTGTTCGCAGCCAGTCCGTTGCTCGAGTCACGTAACGGCCAAACAGAAAGTCCGTTGTTCGCAGCGTCCGTTATTCGAGGCGTACGTTATACGAGGCACCACTGTATTTAAGTGGACTACCATATATTTTCAAATATAGTATGTACAGTGGAACCTCGGTATACGACCTTAATCCGTTCCTGGTGTTTGGACTTATACCGAATAGGACGTATACCGAACCAAGCTTTTCCATAAGAAGTAATGTAAAAATGATTAATCCGTTCTCATGTAAAAAAATGGCTGGCTTTAAACACCTCGCTTTCCTGGCTAGTTCCTGGTTGATTTTTCACGAGATCAGCATGTATCTTTTTAGCTTTCTCGCAAATAATTTTTTCCGATAAGCTGTCGCCAGCACACTATTTTTCAGTTATCCAAAGCAAAAGCAATTTCTCGACATGATCTAATGTCTTCGATCTCTGTTTAGAAATTGATTTAACCCCTTTCGCAACGTTAGCAGATTTAATAATGTCTTTATTTTTCACGATTGTCGATATCATCGTTCTCGGAATACAAAATGCAACAGTTAAATCTCGAACACGCGTGTCACCTTCATATTTCTCAATCTCTTTTTTCAGTTCCATTGTGATTCTAGTCATTTTTTTATTTTTCTGTTGCCTTTTTGCAATTCATGATTAATAAGAATAATAAAATTTTACTTAAAAATTAACATCAAAACAAATTTAACGAAGTTATAAACTGCACCGCGAACGTCTAGTCTGGTGTTTTTTTTTTAACTCTTTCCACCCTGTGGACACTAAGAGGGCCTCTTTTTGCAAGCCCATTATGGGTTCGGCCAGGCTCACAATGGGGTTTGCCGGGTGGTGAGAGAAGGGGCGCGACATATCTGAACAGACCACCCCCGAAAAATTCCTGGGGTTTTTTCGACCCGTATAGATTCGAACCCGGGTTCCCCTGAACGGTAGACTGCCATCCGGCCGCTATAGTCTGGTGTAGTACACCGATAGTGCAACTTGTTCATAGATGGCGCGTATAATTGAATTAAGTCGTATACCGAGCAAAATTTGTTTCGTCTAAACAGGACGTATTCCGAATTGGACGTATTCTAAAGCAGACGNCTTGTTCATAGATGGCGCGTATAATTGAATTAAGTCGTATACCGAGCAAAATTTGTTTCGTCTAAACAGGACGTATTCCGAATTGGACGTATTCTAAAGCAGACGTATACCGAGGTTCCACTGTACGTGTATGTAAGAAAGTATATAATTAACATTACTTTTATAAATAATTTCTAAGAGTTAAAAATCTACTCACGGACACAATTATTATCATCTGCTTTGAAACCTTTCAAACAATCTGTGCATCGAAAAAATGGTTCTTCTTTAGAAAATTCGCATACTCTATTGATTTCAGAGCAGCTCTTATATCCTGCTTCGTTTTTTTCACAATAATCTAATCAGAAATAATCAAAACTTGTAAATGTTGTAGCAATAAATGTAAAAATATAAAATTTAAAATATCAAAAAGTTAAGTGACTTCATAATCGTTTATTTGCCAATAGTCTAACATCATTATGTATTAATTACAATGAAATACTTCTTTTTATAAATTTTTTGTAGTTAATAATAATAAAATTTAAAAAATAATCACTGCATTTTAAAAGTAAAAAGTCATTTCTATTGCTACATTATTTAAATAAGCTATAACTTAATATTATTTATCATAATGTAATTTATATTATAATATCATTGTTATTTCTAATTTGATATTTAAAATGTTTTCACAGTTATTATTTTCAAACAGATTTTGTTTCTCACCAATGCAATGGTTATCATCATCTCCACTCTCTTTAAATCCTGGCAAGCACTGATCACACTTAAAATATGGATCTCTTGTAGTAGGAATACATGTCTTATTTTCTTTTCTGCATTTATCAATTACAGTCTGATTACTTTTGCAGAGATCTAAAAAGTTATAATGAATTCAGTAATATTTAAATATAAACTGAAGTTAGAAAAAAATTTTACTTTTACAAATATGCCAAAAATATTTATTGATTATGAATTATTACTACTAAATTACCTATTTTAATTTATAACGGTACAGTATAATAATTTTCACTCTAAAAATATAACGAGAACATAGTTCACCTCTACCTATAGATAAATTCGCCATCAATAAAAGAATTAAATATTTTTATGAAATTTATTATCTATTTTTAAATAAATGCATATATGAATGTTTTTCAAAATAACTAATTTCAAATGCAAATGTCGTTACTTGCTATTCAAAACATGAAAAATTTTATCGCGAAAAGTAAATAAAGAAAAATTTGATTAAAAATCACAAAATTAAAANCGAGACATAACGCCTTGGACAGAAAGTGTCCTATAGTCCAAAGGATTAAAGCAATTACAATTAAAGTGTTACATGTGACGATATATAACGATATAGCAGCGCACATAATTGTCACCTTTTGAGGAATAAGAACTTGTAATGGAGTCAATGTCCGACCGTTATTTTATGTTTTTGGGCGTTATTTTTAGTTAGTTATTTTCTTTTCGGGGGAGTCTTTTATATTTAAGGACAAACTCCTAAGCACATATGACAAAGTCAAAAAAAGCAGACTTAGTTTGCATCAGTGACTGAGCCTGTAACGCAAAGTCATGTAAATTAGGACCGTGCAGAGCTGCACTAAACATTGGATAAAAGACGGCACATCCAATACAGCCGTGTGATGTAGCTACTGGTGACGAACTCTGTAGACATGTCTCTGAGAAGCTATTAGCGTAAGCTAATAGCTTCTCAGAGACATACTTTGATGTAATACTTTGATGTATGTCTCTTTTTAACATTGCTGTGTATACTTTTACGAGCGTGCTAGTATAAGTCAGGCTGAATTGGATTGAGCCGTATAACGCCGACGCGGACGCGAGTTTGTGAGCTCTTAGATAATCGCGAAGTTTTTCAAGAATTACGTATCTTTACTTAAGTGTGTAGTATCTTTGGATTCGTATTGAGGTGTAGAATTTGATGATGTCATCAGTTTCAGTGTGGGGTTGAGATTACTGCAGCTGCGAAGGTTCGAACTAGCGCAAGTTCGTAGACCGGTCATCCGGACATTGGTGGCCGATCTTCCGGAACTGAAAGTAAACGTTTATTGTACTCTCGGTGGTGAGTACTGTATGAGAATTTTGAGGTCGTAGGACCCGAATTAAGTGAGGTTTAGTGACTTTTTATACCCAGTATGGGCGGGTTTTGGAGGGCTGTATCGGACCCAATTTTAGTGATTTTTTAAATTTGAAAGTACCATCTGAAAAAGGATGTTTTCAGCATAGACATTAAAAAATTTGGGAAAGATCTCTCCATTAGTTATTAATATAGAACGATTTTAGTTTTTGAAAATTTTGCCTCACTGGAAAAATTTTCAACTTTTAACGGTAGTTGTCATAGCTACGGCCGGGTTCTCATAGCGACAATATTCAACATTTGCCGCGGGCGGGAATCTCAAGGCCTCGCTGAAGAAAGGAAGAGTCTGATTTTTTACTCGCTTGTTCTGGGAAAGTGACTGCTTACCTTCTTGTGGCGAGGCCCGCTATTTGGTGGTATGGCTTCTAAGCCACCATCAGCGGGAACACGGGCGGCGCTAACCCGTGTTTCCGAAGAAGAGGAGGTGGATGGGCTCGAGTCCGAGCAAGAGGGATTATTCCCTTCCCTTGCAAGTCAGAGGGAGGAGGGGCAGGATGCAACAGTCATCACTGCTAAGCAGTTTGAAGCTGAACTGCTACAATATTTGAAAGCTAATTCCGGATCGAAGATCGGTTCGAAGGACCACATCTCGCAGTTTATGGGAAAGGTTTCGAGGAAAATAGATTTATTGTCTGGGAGAGATGATATCTACAAAATGGTATCCAGTATAAAGGATAAACTGGATGAAATTAGCAGTAAAGGGGTAAGAAAAGATGGAAGATCTTTTGCTCAGGTAGTGGCAAGTGTTCCATTGGTAAATAAGAAGATGGTTGAACCACGAGAAGTTGTTATTGTGCAACCTATTGAGGCTGTCGAAGACGCAGAACAGACTAAGAAGATAATAAAGGATAACATTAAGCCCCATCTTTTGAAGATTGGGGTTAAAGGTTTAAAAAAAATTAAGGAATGGTGCAGTGGCAATTGAGCTTGATAAGAATGAAGACAAAGAAACACTACAGAAGGCAGTGGAGATGATCCTTGGCATGATAGCGAAGGAGCCAAAGAAAAGATTACCGAAGGTGATCATCCACGCAGTGCCCAAGGATATAGACAAAATGGAACTGTCGAAGTATATATATGAACAGAATGATGGTATATCAGACCTCTATAAACAGCTGGAACAAATTAACCAAGATTTTACGATTAGGTTTGCCTTGGGAAGAAGGGACAGATCTACTGCCAGTTGAGTGGTAGACGTGAAGCCTAACACACGGAATAGATTATTAAGAATAAAAAAGTTAAATGTGCAGTGGGTGAGGTGCCCAGTTGAGAATTTTGTACCAATAGTACAATGCTTCAATTGCTGTAAAATGGGTCATTTTGCCCGTGAATGTAAACAAGAGACCCCCACCTGCAGTCAATGTGGGCAGGGACATAGGTATAAGGATTGTCCTAACAGGAATACGATAAGAATGTGTACAAATTGCAAAAATGAAAATAAAACAGATACGAGACATAACGCCTTGGACAGAAAGTGTCCTATAGTCCAAAGGATTAAAGCAATTACAATAAGTAGAACAGATTATGGAAATGAGAATTATTGAGAGAAGAAAAGAGATCACTGTAGTTCAAGCGGATCTGCAAAAGGCGGTAGCGGCGACCTCAGAGATGAATAAATGGCTGGAGAAAGCTGAGATTGCATTAATTCAAGAGCCATATTCGGTTAAAGGCAAGGTGGCAAGTTTAAGTAGGAGGCTTCGAGTCATTCAGGCTGAGGCAGAGAGGCCTTTGGCAACAGTGGTTGTCTCTAATTCCAATATTGATATCCTTTTTCATAAGGATATAAGTAATCATAAATGTGCATGTTGTGAGATAATCGTTTTTGATCAGAGGATTATAATTGTGAGTATATATTGCCCGTTCGGAAAAGAGATGGCCGACACCTATAACAGCATTGAAAGGATAATGCAAAAGTTTACAGGATAGGCCATTATTATAGGAGGGGACTTTAATGTCCACTCTCCAGTCTGGGTAGACCCATTGCAGGATACTGAGGCCGATGAATTCCTAGATTTTTTAGCAGTGCGTGAGCGGCATGTGGTTAATGATCCAGCATCGCCTTCAACGTTTGTTGAACCTAGAGGATAAAGTTGAATCGACTTAACGATGTGTAATAGTAAAGGTCTAAAATAGATAGTTGAATGGGAGGTTAAGGCGGAAAGCTGTCTCAGTGACCATTCGCCGATAAGTTTTAAGATTGAACTCCCAAAGGTTGGAGAGAGAATTGAAGGGAAGAAATTTGATATTAACAGAGCGGACTGGGCAAAGTTTTTGGCCCGGTGTATTAATGAACTCAGTGAACTAATAAATAGGAATTGCTTGGAAAAGGAGGAGGTACATGCTAATATAGATAGTGCCATTTAGAAGATTAATGAGATATGTGAGGACTGTATACCACTGAAGAGACAGGGAGGCATTTGGTTCCGTGGTGGAATGCGGATCTTATCTTCTTGAGGAGGAACAATAACAGGTTAAGAAGGAGGTTTCAGCATTGCTGGGATCAGAAGGAAAAGGAAAGGAGGAAAAGGGCGTATCTAAGATTTGAGAAGCATTATAAGCAAAAGATTAAGGATTATAAGTTAAATTCTTGGAAAGCTTATTGCAAGGAAAATTCAAGTGATCCATGGAGTTTTATATTTAAGCTCAGTACAGGAAAGATAAAATCTAAGACAATAACTACAACAGTCAAGACCCAATGTTGGTACACTAATTCGATGCAGGAAGCAATTTCTTACCTTTTGGATCAATTATTTCCAGAAGATAGCAGGACTATTGATAACGAGGGACATAGGAAAATCAGACAAGTGGTAGAGGAGGTATATGAAGAGAGGGAAGACCCTCTTTTTACAGCTGAAGAAGTTAAAGAGAGTATAGATAACATAAAAGCAAATAAGGCCCCAGGAGATGATGGCATTGTGATTCAAATAGTAAGGAAAATGTGGGAGGTCTGTCCAGAGTTACTCCTCAAGATGTAATCAATGTCTAAGGCATGGAGTATTTCCTGAAAGATGGAAGAGGGCAAGAATAGGATAATCCCAAAACCTGGAAAAACGGATTTCACAGACACTGGAAGTTATAGGCCGATAAACCTGTTGCCCGTAATGGGTAAGGTCTTAGATGACCTAATGATTAAAAGAATAATGTGGCATTGGGAGCATGGTAATAAAATTGAAGAGGTTCAGTTTGGGTTTCGGGCCCAAAGGTCGACAGAGAACGCAATAAATAAAGTTGTGATAGATATAAGAGAAGTTGTGCAGGGAGCCAAATATGCAGTAGCTATAAGCTTAGACATTAAAGATGCTTTTGACACTGCGTGGTGGGAAATGATTCTCCACCACTTAAGGACTAACAATTGTCCAATGAATCTATATTATCTTGTAAAAGATTACTTTAAAGAGTGAAAAGCGAAGTATAATTCTAATTATTTAAGTGTAGAGAAGGTACTAGAAAGATGGTGCCGGCAGGGAAGTCCGGGCCCAGTTTTTGGATACTTCAATTTGATAGTATAATAAGGAAAATATTGAGGAGAGGACTTCGATGCACGGCATATGCCGATGATATAATGATAATTTGCTCTGGGCATTCTTGTAGAAACATGGAGATGGAGTGTGGAAGCTTACTGAAAGATGTAGATCAGTGGGGTAAAGAGGCCAAGTTGGTATTTAATCCACAAAAGACAAAAATCATGATATTCCAAAGGACTTTACCTCGGCTT